TTATTGCAGCAAATTATATGACTATATTTATTTGCTTTTATATAGGTGTTGATTATCTTAATCGTATAATTGGATGCAATTAAAAATCAATAAAGATTTAAATTTTAGAAAACATAATGATTTTATATTTCAAACTGAATATTAATAAAAAAAATTAAATACCACTTTTTAATATTCATATATTCTATCTAAAAAAAAAACCAAAAGATCCCTTGTGCAATTTCTTCTAAAAATAAACAATAATTTTGAGCCGTTCATCTAAAAACTTCTCCTAATCTATTTGATTATGGAGATAACTGATATATTCTTTATTTTATTAATTTATTTATTGTTTATAGATCATACATTTTGAGAACTGATTAACCTCATCAATGTTCTCCATAGAAGACTGTATATATCAGTGTACTTTGCAACCTTTTTCACTAACAATCAAGTAACCTCAAAATTAAACCTGAAATTATCATAGCTTTGTTATCTGCTGACCAAAGGCTGCAGCTCCATCTTTTTCTTGTCTAACTCAGATTAGCAAGTACTGTTTTTAACCTCATAACTCAGCAATTAAGAGGATCTAATGGCCCCTCAAAAGTTGTTTAGAAGAAAAGAAAGAAAGAAGAAGAAGAAGGACAAAGCAGAAAGCAAGGAGCTAGCTAGGTTTGCTTTCAGAAGGTGGTGGGAACTGGGAAGGAAAGTAAAAGATGGAGAGTATCTGATTCAAGTTCATATCATACAAGGCCACTCTTTCCCATGTGAGAATGGGGGCCATAGTCGCATTTCTTTTTTGCTTTTCTGAGGGGAAGAGGATGATCAAGCTCATAATCTATCTCATCTCATTGCTTTTTTGTAGCGAACTCTTTAGGACTCATTCTCTCTCTCTCTTATCTTCTTCTTTCTCTTTCTCTTTCTCTGTGTTTTCTAGAGATGGAATAAAGCGAACAAAAGCTTGAGTGATTCATTCAACAGCTGTAATTTTATTATTACAGTCATCATTGTGGCTATAAGCATCTCACTGTTATATTAAGGGTTCCTAGCTAGCATTTGATCTCTGTTTGGACGACATAATGATGAAGGTATAATCACATATCAGCTTTACGTATAGTGGAATTCAATGGAATCTAAATGCCTACTTTGCCGAGGAATAAAATGATTTTGAAGAAATTAAAATATAAATATTGCTGCTAAAACTAAGCAATTCTTTAACCTTTGAAAATTAAATCTTCATAGTTTGTTATCCACTCAAACAATACAACCTTCCTTATAAACCTTGATAATAGAACATCTTCACAAACTTTTCACAATACTAATCATACCAAGAAAATTATGCCTTAGCCATTTAGTTATAGCCTTTACCTTTTGAGGTCCAACTGAAGTACCATCTCAAGTGATTATATGTCCTAAGAATATTATGGTTTCCAAATATATTCTTGTTGCGGGCTAGAATATACGCAGCAATAGAGTTAGAATACTACATCTTAGCATTGCACAGATATCCAGCTCACACACAGAAAACACAAGATTTTTACGTGGAAAACCCTGAATAAAGGGAAAAATCATGGGGCTTGGCCCAGTTGAAAATGATTCCACTATAACTTGAGTATGTTACAATGGGATGACTCGCCTCTAAGGGCGATCAGATAACAAGTCATAATTCTATGACAGAAGTCCAGGTGTCAGGTGATGGACCGGCCAGCAGAACTTTGGGCTTCAGGTAATGGTCTGGTAGAACTCCAGGCCTTAGGTGATGGTCCGGCAAAGGTGAGGGCCTCCGGTGGTGGTCCGGCGAAGGTGAGGGCCTCCGGCGGTAGTCCGGCGAAGCTCCGTGGTGGTCCGACGAAACTCCGGTGGTGGATCGGCGATGGTCCGGTGGAACTCCGGCGGTGGTCGAGGAGGAGCTTCTTCCATCCTTCTCTCCTTCATTCTCTTCTCTTCTTGCTTGGGTCCCCTCTCAAGAGAAATGAGGGATCTATTTATAGATTTTTTGGAGTGGCATGACTCATAAATAGATGAGAGACTAGGGGAAAATATGGAGTGGTTCGGATGAACGTCCGATATTGAATTCTTTAATCGTGGACCGTTTATCAGTGAAGGTCTTAATGACTTTAGAATTTGGCGATATTGGGCTCGTTGGATTCGTCTCGTCGAGCCGCTCGATTTGACTATAAGGTCGTCAAGTTAGGAGACCCTTTGGTAACACAAAGTGTGATACGAACTTTCCAACAGTGCTTTGAGTCCTTGATTTGGACTCATTTGGGCTCGGATTGAGTCGAATTTGGTGTTGTTGGGTTCGTATTTCCAAGACGCTCAGTTTGACTATAAGTTTGCTGAAATTAGATTTTATGTGATCCTGGATTTAACTTTTTAAGCTTCCAGCTTGATTTTTGCCTCGAGATTCGTGCCCAATCAAGATAATTTTTTGATAATATATCAATTCTTATGTGCAAAGCATGTTTTTCATCAGTCTTAACATATACGAAAATATCATTCATACAAATGATTACAAACTAATCAAAAAATGATTAAATATGATCTAATGATTAAGTCTTTGAAGATTTATGGTACATTTGTCACAGAAAATGACATCATGAAGAACTTAATATTGAGTGCCGCTACATCATCTTTCTTTTACCTTTAATTAATGATAATCGAGGCCTCATGTTAATTTTTTAAAATTTACTAACACCTTCTAACTAATCAAATAAATAATCAATTCTTAAAAATGAATATTTGTTCTTGATTATCATTCTGTTGAAATCCCTATAATTTGAACACATGCATATTATGGCATACTTCTTCTTTATTATTAACGCAGGTGCTCTCAATGGTGATATTCTGAGTCTAGTAAAAACCATATCAACTAGTTCTTATAATTATATTTAATTTTTGTAATTCTTTTGGAGGTATAAAAAAAAGTTTTAGATGGATTCTTTGTACCAAGTGCTTGTTCAATAAAACCCAACATCATGATCAAATAGTAATCTTACAACTTCATCAACAAATCATTCCCTACATACAATTCATTCACCTTCTCTATTAAATTAATTTAATCCTTTATGCATGTAAGAAACATATTTACTCCTTCCATAATTTATCAACTTTAGCTACAAACATCAATGATGATAATACACATTTATATTTGTAAAAACAATTTTTTTCCAGTGTCTCCCAAACATAATATTTTTTTTTCTTTCTACAATCTAAATAAGCACCATATTTGCTTAAACAATTTGTTCCCAATATTATATAAAATTTAGTCAAAGATTATACTATTGTCTTGGATTCTAATCGTTTATATACATCATTCTCAATATCACATGTATATGCATGACTAGCACTATCGAACAATTTCCAGTATGCAAAATAACAAATAAACTAGTATGTAATGTAATAGGAGATAAACATTGCATTGTAAAGAAATTCTCAGCAATGAATAAATAACTTACATTTTAATCAAATAAACCTCCTCCCATACATATAGAAATAAGAATTATACATGTGAAAGATATAAAAACACTCAGCTTCTTATTAATTTAATGCATAGACCCTAGTTGCATTGAAATTTTATTCAAGTAGGTTCTCAAATCACTCTATGAGTAAAACTTAAACTATAGCGCTAGGTTAGAATCATCTTCAAACTCAACATTATAACATTTGAACCCAAATTTTGTAGGCTCAGTAATGGTGAGAATGTCATGTGGCAGACTTGATCAGAAGGTAGAAGGAGCTTAACACTCGAGCAGGACAGATCAAGATTGATCAAATCCTCCAGGCAGTTGTCCCCCTCCCCCTAGGAAAAGGCAACCTTAGAAGTTCCTCTTTCAAGGAGACAAATTTTTATCCATCTAAGCTAGGGTCAAGATTCCCCTGCTTGGTACAACAAAGAGCCATGGATATGCATTATCCCTCTCATAGATTTCCCTTTCACACCAATATGAGGATCACATTCAAACATTACTTGCTCTTCCTCTTCAATGAGGTGAGTCAAACCGTCCTACCATTTTTCATCTAATAGCTGAACAATCAGGTAACACTCGCCCTATTCCACCTCAACAGGGTGACTACATATTATCACTCTATCCTATTCAACTCAACTCCTTTAGTCATCTAATAGCTGAGCATCAGACGAACAATTACTACCAGATGATGTGATCACATCTACGTACCAAGCAATAACTCCTGCATCATTCTGAACCCCCTATAAAAGTGGAAGAGGAAGGAGAAGAAAAGATTCCGCGACTCGGAGAAACCTAGACTCCAGGATTTTCCCATCTCTTCTTCTAAATCTTCATGATCTCTCCTTTAGCCATAGGAGAGAACATGTTGAAGAGTACGATAAAAAGGGAAAGGAATATATGTAATCCTTAGTGTATTGTATTATTTCTCTTACATAGCTTAAGTCCATAATATTGAGCTTCTACTTTCTATTACTCTTGTATTTCGAGGTTGGATAATAAAAATATGGTCTAAATCCCACTATCATCTCTCATTTTTCAGTATTCGAATCTCATTACATTATCCTCATGAGCGTCTAAGCCTACAAGTGGCATAAAGTATGATCATACATCACTCTACCGAACAAAACAAGATCCAACACATAGGGGCAAGTCTTTCCCATTATATCAAAACCAAAATCTTCTATTGCCATATTACATCTTCAATCACAAGCTAAAGCTTCGTTTGAGATAATTTTCTCAATACATTGCTTTTCAGATAGCAACCACATCTTCTATTTAATCACTGCTTTTTCACTTCTTTCAATAAACTTTTGTAATAAGAAGTTGTTTTATATAATAGCTTTTTCAAAAATTACATTCTTCACAATAACATTACAAGCAATTTATAAAAAATTACGATTATCTCAAATAAATCATAAATCATAAATCGGTTATTCATGATTATGATAATCAATAAAAAAATACCATAATAAAAATACCTCTTAAGAATATTAGACTAGCCACTTGTTGAAAACCGAACTAATCTGTTAAAAATCTGAGGCGATCCGATAATCCCAGACCTTTAACATACTGCCACAAATTAAAGTATGTATTTAACAGCTGCAAATATATTCCGACGCAATAAAGAAGATCAATACACAGATTGAACCGTGCCCATTATTTTTGCTCTACTAGGGCTCACTGGTTGGAATAAAGGATAAAGAACCCATGAACGGTCGCTTTAGACTCTTTTAAAAACTATAAAAAGATTTAAAATTCTGTTATCCCAACGGCCGTTTTATTTTTCCCGTTACATCGAGTTTTAAAAGCTCAACCCTTCCCCTCGTCTACCTCTCTCCACTTTTCTCCCTGTTAACGAAAGAAGCACAAGCACTACTTCACACTCCAGGATCTTATCAGAGTCAGAGCCCAGCTTCTTCCCCCTCTACAACTGATTCCAGCAACTGAAACAACTGTATTCACACTATCCCCATTTCTTCTAGGAGAAGACACCTCAAAGTTGAACTTCCTGAGATTCCCCACCTTTTACTTTCAGTGTTATATCCTCATTAACCAGCCACTCGCCATGAATTCCTGAAAAGCTCCATCAAAGCAATGTCTCCGCTTCTCCTCTTCTTCTTCCTTCTCTCTATCTCCCTTCTAAGCTACACCAACTGCATTCCTTTGCTTGAAGATGGCAAAACCTTAGCTTTCTTTAGAAAATCGATTCATTCCCCGCTTTCAGTATTCGACGACTGGAACGTTTCCAATCCCAGCTCTGTCTGCTCGTGGTCGGGAGTCAGCTGCTACGGCCAACGCGTTGCAGCTATCGATCTCTCTAATCTGAACATCTCTGGTACAGTTGAGCTCGCCGGTCTTGATGCACTCATAAACCTCTCTCTCGCAGGAAATAAGCTCAACGGATTCGTCAACCTGTCAAACTTTCCAAATCTTCGGTACCTCAATATCTCCGGCAATCAATTCTCCGGCGGACTCGAATGGGACTACAACGGCATGCCGAAACTTGAGGTTTTCGACGCCTATGATAACAACTTCACCGCGCCTCTCCCACTTGGCGTTACCAATTTGCAGAGGCTTCGGTACCTCGATCTCGGGGGAAACTTCTTTTATGGATCAATTCCTCCAAACTACGGAGGAATGCTCGCAATGAAGTCGCTCTCGCTCACCGGAAACGATCTCCGAGGGAAAATACCCGGCGAGCTTGGGAACCTAACCGGGCTTAATTATCTCTACCTGGGCTATTTCAATGCATTTGAGGGCGGTATTCCGGCTGAGCTCGGCAAGCTCGGTAATCTAGTTCACCTTGATGTCTCCAGCTGCAGCATCGATGGCCTCATTCCTGAGCAATTGGGGAAATTGATCAACCTCGACACCCTCTACCTCCACACCAACGCTTTGTATGGTGCGATTCCGGCGGCCCTCGGAAATCTCACGAGGCTCGTATACCTCGATCTCTCCAACAATGCGCTCACCGGCGAAATACCGCGAGAATTCGTCGGCCTCACTAAACTTAGTTTGTTCAATCTCTTCATGAACCGGCTACATGGGTCGATACCGGAGTTCGTCGCTGGCTTGCCGGAGCTCGAAACTCTGGAGCTCTTCATGAACAACTTTACCGGCGCAATACCAGCGAGGCTTGGCTCCAGCGGGAAGCTCCAGCTACTTGATCTTTCATCAAATAAGATCACTGGAACCATACCGGAGGAGCTCTGCCCCTCCAACCAGCTCAAAATTCTAATTCTGTTTAAGAATTTTCTCTTTGGTTCACTGCCGGAGAGTTTGGGGAACTGCCTGAGTTTGACGAGGGTGAGGCTTGCGGAGAATTATTTCAATGGGAGTGTCCCATTAGGGTTAATTTACCTTCCTCTGCTTGATCTATTAGAACTTAACAACAATTACTTCTCCGGAACGATTTCGGAAAACTCCGATCAAGAACGTGGGGAATCTCGATTGACTGTTTTAAATTTATCAAACAATCTTTTCTCCGGCCCGATTCCGGCTTCGATTTCCACCCTTTCTTTTCTCGAAACCCTGATCCTCAGCGAGAACCGATTCTCTGGCTTGATTCCGGCAGACATCGGCAGACTACAGCGGTTAGAGAAAGTGGATTTTAGCCGGAACGAGCTTTCGGGAGAGATCCCCTCGGAAATCGGGCGATGCGCGCAGCTGACCTACCTCGATCTCAGCGGGAACAAACTCTCTGGCCGCATCCCACTAGAAGTCGCCGCTCTCGGCGTGCTCAGCTACCTAAATCTCTCGCGCAACCACCTCTGCGATTCCATCCCTCGCTCCATTGGGTCCATTGCCAGCCTTACCTCCGCTGATTTCTCTTTTAACGATCTCTCCGGACGCCTTCCAGACTCTGGCCAGCTCGCTTTCCTCAACGCATCCGCCTTCGCCGGAAATCCCCGCCTCTGCGGCGCCGCCATCAGCAACCCATGCGTCCCTTCCTCGGCAGCTCCGACAACATCGCCTCGTCTCCGCCGCCTCCCGACCAACTTCAAGCTCGTCTTCGCTCTCGGCCTCCTCATCTGCTCCCTCGTCTTCACCGCCGCCGCCGCGGCGAAGGTTCGCGCCCACCGCCGCGCCGCCGCCGCCGCCCCGTGGACAATAACAGCGTTCCAGAAAGTATCTTTCGGCGTAACGGAAGTGCTGGAGAGCATGAAAGAAGGAAACGAGATCGGGCGGGGCGGAGCCGGGGTGGTGTATCTCGGACGCTCACCTAACGGTGACGGTATTGCAGTTAAAAAACTAATGGGTTTTGGGACGAACGGTCACGATCACGGATTCCGCGCCGAGATTCGCACTCTGGGAAGCATCCGTCACCGTAACATCGTCCGATTGCTGGCCTTCTGCTCGGATTCTCATACAAATGTTTTGGTATACGAATACATGGGTAACGGCAGCCTGGGCGAGGTGCTCCACGGCAAGCGCGGGGGGTTTCTCGAGTGGGACCGTCGGTACAGGATAGCCTTAGAGGCTGCCAGAGGTCTATGTTACCTCCACCACGACTGCTATCCCATGATCATACACCGCGACGTCAAGTCTAACAACATCCTCCTCGACTCCAATCTTGAGGCCCACGTGGCAGATTTTGGCCTCGCCCGGTTTCTGCTGGACGGTGCCTCCTCCGAGTGCATGTCAGCCGTCGCAGGATCCTACGGCTACATTGCGCCAGGTATGTGTCTCCCATTTTTATTGGACGGTCAGCATTTTCCTTCACTAGCCTTGCAAATTTCACGGAAAAAACAGTAAATTTTGCGATTTGATAAATGATTAGGGGGTAACATGCGAATAGTGGTACAAAAGGGCCCCACGGCCGGGGGTGAGAGGGACCGGTCGGTGTTGTGGTGGGGCCCGCTCTCACTATTACGAAGAGTCCACCTGTTACGGTGCCGGAAATCTTACAGCGTAGTTGTGGGTGTCCGAGTCATCAGGCCCTGGGCGCTGACCTTTTCATAAAGCGCAAAATGACAATTGTATCCTCAGAAGGATTATTTTTGTCGTCCCACGATTTGGGCCAAGTTGGGTATTAATTAATATTTTAAAAAATCTTTCATGTATAGAGCAACACTCAAAATACAAATTTGATTATAAATTTCGTAGAGTTTAAGGCTTTGTTTGGAACGACTTTTTTACTGCTTTTTAAAACCGAGTTTTAGTACAAATTTTTTTATTTTTTACTATAACTCCGTTTTAGAAAGCAATAAAAAAGCGGTCCCAAACGAAGCCTAAGTTATGGGGATGCTCCACTGGATGAGTGGCTTTATACATAAAAATAGAATGCAAAATAAATATATATGAAAAAGTTGGAATAGCTGCAGCAATAATGTTAGATAGTGGTGCTTTGGATGATTTGGTCACATAAAATGTCAGTCTTTCGAGAACACTAATAGAAGAGTAGATGTATTAGATCTAGTTTATGTTAAGAAAAATGGAGATAAATCTAAAAAAATTTGTTAAAACATATTAAAAATGATAAGACATAATGGAAAAAAAAAGATTCATATATCAAACCGTATGTTGTGGATAAAAATTTGTTATTGTTATTGTTATTGTTGTTGTCACTAATAGAAATTTTATCATATGACATATTATGATGAAGGATTTGTTTGGAACAACAATATTTTATAAAGTTGATGTGAAATTATTGTGAAAGTGAAAAAAAATAGTTATTTAAAAAAAAAAAACAGGTTTTTATCCTAAGAATATTTAAAAACCAAGTAGAAAATAAGAAATCGGTGATAGGCAAATAAAATTTTGATTGTTGACTTGAAAATAAAACAACAAAAGAAGCTATACCAAACAGACAGTACATGAAGCAGCCTTCTTCGCATCTCTGATCCCGTATGCAGTGCATAGATAAATAATGACAATATTTGTTTGTTCGTGCGCACATTACATGTTATAAATGCATTTCAGATTCTCGTCTCGTACATAAACTATGCATGTACTAACTGTCTTGAACTTTTGATTAAGGAGGGGATTAGCCTCCCTTTGTATGGAGGAGAATGCCGTTGCCCTCCACTAACACAATTAATTAAGATTAATTAGTTAGAAGGCCATTGCTTAATGCATTAGCTAATGCCGACCAGACTATCTGTTCAATCGTACGAATATTGTAGCAATCATTCTTGATAATGCGTTGTCTTTAGCATGGTGGTCACGTGCATGTGGATGTGCCAAATGATCTTCATTTTCTTACAGCACTGGTTTTAAAAAATACTTGCCATGTCGAAGGTATGGTCAAAAGCTGACTTTTTTATACTTTATTTTTCTCAAGATATCAAGGATCAACGTCGGATTCTAGATATCAAAGTATCTATATTGAATGCCTTAAAAGTTGCTTCAAAAATGTTAATTGTTTGTTAATTAAGGACTTTCTGTGCAAACTTTTGTTTTTATGTAAGTTGGTTGATTATTAGTTTATAATTTATGTCGTTACAATCTAATCAGTTTTAAGGAAGATTTTACTGTAGATGCAATCGAAAGTTTTTGTTTTTTTGATGTTATGATCAATAAATCCTATTTTTCGGATTAATCCAGAATATGCTTACACGCTGAAGGTGGATGAGAAGAGTGATGTCTACAGCTTCGGAGTAGTTCTATTAGAACTCATCACCGGTCGCCGCCCAGTTGGGGATTTCGGCGACGGGGTGGACATAGTTCAATGGGTCAAGAAGATAACAAATGGTGGGAAACAAAGCGTTGATATAATACTCGACTCGAGACTCGCCTCAGTCCCCTTAGATGAAGCCATGCATGTCTTCTTCATCGCCATTTTATGCGTTCAAGAGAACAGTATTGAGAGGCCGACGATGAGGGAAGTTGTTCAAATGCTCTCGGAGTTCACTCGCCATGTTTCATCAGACGATCAGATCTCTGCATCCTCTTCTGCTTCGAAGCAGTTGGAGCAGACAGAGCATTCAAGTCCACAAACTAATTGTTATAAGCTCTTTCCAGATCTCTTGTCCTGAAAGAGAAGGTACTGTATTGGTATTTACAAATGTTTGATGAAGGAATTAAGTAATAAGTCAGCCTCTTTCTTTTTTATATTCTATGGAAGTATATAGGGTGACATGACTATTGTGTTTATTAGGCTAATATGTGGGGTGGCACCATGTATTTATTATATAGATTTGAGCCACAGGGTTTGCTACTTTTCTCATCTTCATTGCTGTCTTGTCCTGAAAATTCTTTCGTATCTCTACTTTCTCTAAGTTTATGTTGGAGGAAGCTAGACCGATTAATGCTAGCTTTATGTGGACTGGCAGTGGACGGCGTGTACTATTATGGATGGAAAGGATGAGGGTGTACTTTGATGATTTGAATGCAAAGCAATACTGATGTGCTGTCAGTATTATATTTGTTTAGTATCTGATTAGATGTAGCACCTCCTATCCACTGTAGTGCTTCTAGTGCTGTGTATATTTGTAGGCCTCACCTTATATTTAATGCTTCGCACTGTTTTGCTTCAAAAACATTTAATATAGTACAAAAATGGAGGAAAACAAAACATACTATGGAAATACAGAACCAAACAAAAATAATGAGAAACCTGGAAGGACTCAGAGAAGGGCAAAGATTCCAGAAAATCAACACATATGCTTGAACAATCTAGAGTACGTGTCTGAATGATTGCTCCCAAAATTGCTCAAGATATATAGCAACAAAGATGAGATATAAGGCAACAAAATGTGAAAATTATTAGGTTCGGACACCTGTCAGAGAGAATTATTCGGATTTCTCTGTATACAGAAAAACGCAGTTACTGTAGCAGTTGCACTTTGGCTGCGCTTTGATTATAGGCAGAGAGAAAACCAAATGATTCTCTCTGTCAGGTGTCCGAACCTAATAATTTGCCCACGAAATGGCATCCATGGAATAGAGTAGCTATCGAGAGATCCAAATATGAATGCCCAAAGCACCATTGCCATCCCAAAGTAGCAGCAAAACTGAAAACGCATAATTAATGGCCTAAAATAGTTGTTTTCAATTTCAGTCCAATCTTGGTTGTGCATTCATTTTTCAACACCAATTGAAGAGAACAACTAACTTTGTCCCAGCAATGGAAATGCTACCAAAATTATTACCAAATTTTTTGCTATTCCATTCCCTCAAAATATGATAAACAATGCAGATCATAGAAAAGTGACAAAGCTCATATATTCTTTTGAAGCATTATCTATAGTAAAAATAAGCTGCAAATTTAAAATGAAGATGATCTAAGAAATAATATAACCATACAAGGCAGCTACCCTTGAAGAAATGCATTAGAGGAGTAAGAGAATATATCTTCATTATTCTCTTTCTCGTCTTCCTCCTCACGTCTTCTTTTTATTATTTGTTTCTTTGTTGTTGGGGTTACATGTTTCTTCCACAACTTGTACTGAGCACATGCGAGCATTCATTTCTTCGATCAATGTAAACACCTTATCAATGTATTGGCATCATACGATATGCCTTGTTCACCTAACCCATAAAACCGCCCCTCCAACAACATCGCTCCACAAAAGAAAATCTATTTGTTTAGAAGATCTACTTGTGGACCCATTTTCCTACACTGATTGACTCTGAAGATCCTTAAGCCACATAAACTCATCTTATAATGTAACAAACTATTAATAAATTTAGTATATCTTCAAAAATTTTACAACTTAACAATATTTTGAATACTTATATGAAACCATTGTTATATATTATCAACTTACCGTTGGCTCTTTTGGTGTTGGTGGGTTCATACATATAACTCCATTACTGTTGATTTCCTTCCCATACTTTTTTTTTTGTAAAAGTATTTTAATAATAAAAAGATATATACATTACCAAAAATATGTTATTTCCGTAGCACTTGATAGCAGCGGTTTTAAAACCGCTATTTTAGATGGCTTTTTTATGTGGATTTAATCGCCGCTAATAACAGCAATTTAAATCAGTGCTAATAGTGGCAGCTTAAATTGCTACTATTAGAAACAGTTTAAATAAAATTCAATTGTTTTGGAATATGAATAATTCCTCTAATGTAAAAATTGTGAAATAAAAAAAAATTATAAAAATTGTTGCAATTTTAACTGCCGCAAATCAATTTGGTGTATGGTTAGAGATTCATCGTGATTAAGGCTACTGCTATAAGTGCAAATTTGTGGCTGTTAAAATTGCTGTTAAAACTAGCTTAACAAATTGCCTCCTCAGCGGTTTTAAAACCGATGTAGAAGACCATTGCAGCAAACAACAATTATAGTAGTTTTGAATTAAACGGCTGCAAGCATTTTTGTGGCAGTTAAAATCATCGTCATGGCCTCTATTAAGTGATGCAAAAGCCTAATTTTCTTATAGTGATAATAAAAAAAATATCATAAATTCATTACTAACAATAATACACTATTCTCCTTTTATGCTCGGTATATATTGTTGAATACGAATTGGAACAAAACTAGGTTGAAATCTCCTCTAGCCGACAGTAATTGTTTGGGTTTATTACTTTAATGGAGGAGTATAGGATAAGAATTAAGGTATGGAAATACTTTTAAATGATAGAGGAATGTTTGTAGATTGGTTCTAAGTATTCCACCATTTTTAAGGGGTTTACGGTGTTCAAATGGGAAATGAAATAAAATTAGGTCTTGTTTACTCTATTAACGATTCACAACTTGCAAGGGACTGAGGATTAAGGTTTTGTGGGATGTTAGAGGAGGAAATGACATGAAATGATAGAGTAATAAAAGGGAATAGAATTATATAGCAAAACATAATTAAATTTAAAGTAAATAAGTAAACTTATCGCTCACAAAAGTGTCATGTTTTAAAGGAATCACCCAAGTCCTTTAATGTTTGAGGCCAACCACTAAGCCCTCATTCTTGAAATAAACACAAACATTTATACCAAATATATATGAATTCTTTCTTTACTGATATCTATATTATTTATTAACATTTAATAATAATTGAAATTGAAATAAAATTTCATGGGAGGATTTGGGAGGAAATTCACTAAATACCTGCGGTACTTCCAATAGTCATTTGACCACTGGAATTACTGGCAGTCACATTACCACTGTTTATCGGCAGTTGGACAACCGGTAAAAAACAAATTAACCATCAGTATTAATGGCGGTCAAATGACCGTCGATGTACTCTTTTCATGATGCATTTATCGACGATTTTGATGCCAATTTTATGTTACTTATTTCCAGTGGTTGAAATCGCCAGAAATGCCATTGGTAAGTGCCCTAAAATTGATCACCCCTTTCCTTCTTTCTTATTTCCCCTTCCTCTTAAGGGTTTGAATTGACTTCTGAAAGCCTTGGTCAAATGGTTTGAATGGGTAGAAGTGTATGGGAGGTTGGGTCAAACTTGTCTGACTTGGTCAACCAAGTTAACCTAGGGTAAAGGATTGGGTCCATTGAGTTCAAATTGATCATATGAACTCAATGGAAGTAGTTTCAAATCAAGAGGAGGTCATTTGGTTTGAAGTAGGTGTTTAAACCCTTAAAAGCCACTTTGGTTAACCAAGTCAAATCTAAGTGTGGGTTTGGGTCCAATGCGTTCCTAATGATATTTAGGATCGGTTGGGTAGGTTTTGAAAATTGATATTGGAAGGCCATGTTTAATTTTGGGGAAAAGATCAAAAACCTCTTTAAAAGGCATTTTGGTAAAGGGCATTTTGGTCATTTTGACCCTGTTCAATCTTGGGTCAAACTAGGTCCTAAAAAGTGTAGGTTACTGACCAACAAATCATTACAAAGGTCATGATTGTTGTTAGAAGGTTTGAAAAGAATCCCAAGATAAAATTCCACTAAATGGCTAGTCTAGTGGCATAGACTGTAAATATTTGAAGGTTTTGTGGCCTATGGAAATCAATCCAATTTCTAGGGCTAAGGACCTCATAATGGGTTAAAAATTGGTGGGTTAATCTTAGAGACATATCTAAGCAATTTGAGATTAAAATACCCAAAATCAGAGGTATTTTTATTAGGTTTTCAGGTGATAGAAAATTCATCTAAAAAGAGTTTCAGGACCAAGGCCCTTAACCCTGGGATTTGGTTTGGAATGTTAGATTTGGATTGAATTTTAGAGTTGAATGGTTGAGTTTGAATCATCCACATCAATGACAATCAAATGAATAATTGAGATTGATTGGAGATGATTTGAAAGTTGTTTTAAAGTTGATTAAAAGTTGGTTGAAAGTTGGTTGATGTGCAGGACCAAAGATTAGATTGAAGGGTAGAATTGGATTTGATTGGAATCAGATTTGATTTTTCCTGGGACCTATATGACTGAGAAGTGGACATCTCTCAATCATCAGGTTACCAGAAAGAAACTCGGGTAGGTCCTAGTAACCTCATACAAAAATGAGGTCAACAATCATTTCACAAAAATATATCAAATAATTATAAGAAGATACCAATGAAATTTTGTGATTTAACCAAAAAAACTACAAAATTTATAACATCACCATAATATCACTTAGGGAAGAAAAGTCATCGAACAATTTTATATCCAAGAATCTTAAGTCATGTTATCTCTGATATAAAATTTGACGAAGCATAGAATTACCAGTCTTGATGAAGGCTTAAATGTACTTCTTCTCAAGAGCATTACGAAGTGTATTTAGGCTTTGGTTTTATTGAATAGTAAGTAGAGTTAAGGATATGGTAAGTAATGATTGGATTAAGGTAAAACAAGGTTAAGCTTAAGAGTTTGTTTCATGAGGAAATAGGGTTTTTGGGTGGAAAAATGTTAAACCCTTAGACGTAAAATGCTTGGAATAGTTAATAAAATGTGTCTAGATTTAATCTAGAGAGTCTCATAGTTTTGAAGGCTTTATCATTGAATAGGGGTTGGAAGAAGACTTGGTCTTATTGAAATCTCATCTAGTCTACAATAATTGTTTGAGTTTATGGCTATACTACAGAGGTTTAGGGTGAGGATCAAAGGCTAAAAACATATTTTAATTTTAGATAGTTCCACCATTTTTCAATGGGAAACTATTTCAATGGACAATGGAACAAGACAATATCTTGTTTACTCCACACATGGTTGGCAACTTGCAAGACTTAGGGTTACAATTTTGTTAGAATTTGGTGAGCGAAGTGGTATGAAATTATATATTAATGGTGGGATGAGAATGCTATAGCAAAAGATAATTATCTTTGATGCAAAATCATGATCACATCTTTCAATGAGGATGCTAGCCATAACTATTTGAAAACTAATATTTTTTTTCATTTTCGTCACTTGGGATCTTATAGTTTCTCCAATCTAGTCACCATGTGCTCTTTATGCTATCTTATGGGCATAATCCAGGCCACCTCATGCATTGTATAAATCCACCCAAACAAAC